GCCATGAACCTTTGGTTTTATGTTGGGGTACCCCTGTACTTTCATAAACAATGATCAATTAGGGAAAAGGTACTACCATCACCTTTTTTCACATTGGCCGTGCCAGTGAGACTACGCCAATTTTCCTCTGACTGTGGCTTTTAGTGCTATCATCAGAAATAAAGTATCAATACTTATTTTGATTTTTTTGTCTGTAAAAATTCATTTCTGAAGATTTGAAAAGAAAAAAAAAAATTGTTTCCTAGAGGAATAGTAGAGAATTACTAAAGGATTAAAATGTAGGGCAAATTTATTTATTTCTTTTGTTTTAGTTCTAAATTTGTTTCACCGTGTTCATTTTTATAGACTTTTAAAGAGCTGTTTTAAAAGTATTGGCTTTTCCAAATCTGTGCTTAATCATTTTATTTACATAACCTTAACTTTTATCCATTTTTAATTTTATTTCAGGCATGGACAGCACCTAGTATCACTTCTTTCTGGCAGAAGAAATGTTATTAAGGTTGTATACTTTTATAATTTTATATCATAATCTAAGGCAGCATTTCATTTCTTAAACTATGGGTCACAAACCCAAATGGGATCACAAAGCAAAATATAAGTATGGTGAAAATTTAACTTAGCTACATGAATTTAAAGAAACATTGTTTGCAATCCCTTTGTTATCTTTAATTTAATATATTACATTTTCTGTATAGTGCAATTATAAAATTGCCAAATGCCGAACTATATTACAGTACACAGTCCGAAATCCAGACATCCATTATCCGGAATGGTCTAAAATCCGGACCTCAAAACTACCAACAACTGTCTTTTTCTTTGGCTTTTATGCATGTGCATTTAATTTCCCCCTCCGCACATAATAAAACATCTGGAGAGTCCAGATTCTTAATTTCACTTCGATACTAAATAAAATACCTTGTTACTGAAGACACAATCATTTTAGCATAAAATTGCACAATCAGTAATTTGTTTCCGTTGCTGTGTATCTCAACCTAAAACATTCCAAATAGATACATCATTCATCTGATGCCAACCCAGCAAATCATTATTTATTATACTTTCTGTTATCCCCCCATGTTTATCGAAACATGACAACTTGCATAATGACTTGTGTAGCAATGCCTAAAAAATTTTTTTATGTTAGTAACTGAATAAGAAATTTACGGTTTTGCAGCTGAGGATGGTGGTTCGGTAAAACCATCGAAACTAGTCCTGTGAAAATTTTGAAAATATAACGCAGATTTTTGTTGTTTGACTTCTGAATTAGTATTTATTTGGCGTGTTATTGTGTCTTAGCTACAAAGTCTGTTCAAGCAGGAACTAGTAATCAGAAAAAGGCATTTAAATTATAATTTAATTATAATTGAATGTATAATTTGGCTACTGAATATGAATAGCTTCAAGAAATTCCAATTCATCAATGGAAGAAATTTTCTGGATTATTTTTGCACTCTCGAAAACAAAATTGTGATTAAATTCCCAACTATGATTAGCTGTCGAAAGCTCGTTAATTTTGCCTTTTCAAACACAAGATCTGTGTTCCTTGTTGTGAAACTTTAATATGTTTTAGTTTGGCATTTATATCACACTTTGTGTTTTATAGCTGAAAAATATGATTGTAAAACTGTAATTGCAAAAATAATTATGGATCACTTAGAAGCCTTCATGAAGTTTTACAAATTTTTTACATCTGTTCTTGAATAAAAGAAGTTAACTTGGATTCAAAATATTGATGAGATTAACTCCTTGTGCGAATTGTAGATCGGACTAGAAATGAATTTCCTTCAGTTTCTGAAATGGCAGATACTCTTCTACCATTCAGTAAACACGTGTAAAATTTCATTTTTGGTTTTAATGCTTAGTAAATCCAAATATCATTAAATAAGGGAAAACATTGAAGCTGCTTTATATCAAGGAGCAATAAGTGTTACCAACGTATAATTTGTTATGTAGAAAAACACAAGCGCATTTGTCTCATTAAAACATGATTTTCTTTCACTAATTTGTGCATACTTGAAACAAATCCTAAAACTACTTCTTTTCATATGTATGTTTGTTATAAGTATTTTGAAAAAATATTTATTTTTATAGCTTTATTTTATATAATGTTTGGGGTCACAAAAAATATTGATGTTAAAATGGGTCATGAAGGAAAAGAAGTTTAAGCAGTGCTGATATGGTATCTCCTTGTAGAACTTGAACGTCTTCCATTTTAAATCAACACTCAGATTTAATATTCTGTTTGAAAAGTAACCTTTCAGCTTCAATATTGGTTTTTTTTAAATACAAAATGTATTTTTATTATATAACTGCGCTAGGTTGACTAGACTGAAATGTATTTATGGTCATTATGATAGTTGTGGGATTTTTATTAGAACTAAGATTTTATGTATGTTCACTGCTTGTTTAAATTTTTATGGAATCGCATCTGTTTGTAATACATCTTAAAAGTATATAATCCTGTTTTACAGTAACATGCAAATGAACTTTTAAATGGTTGAAAATGTAGCATCATTATGTAAAAATCTATCTTTCTGAAGATAACTAAAAAACCAATTTCTGAAGATATTCTTACGATTTTATAGCTACTTTCTAAATTTTGGAAAGACATTAGCTTCCAAAAGTTAAGCATGCGATGGTAAAATCAGAAACTAAAAAACTAATTAACGAACATGTTCTTCACTAATATAATTGCTAATAATGTTAATAATTAGCTTAGCTACTCTTAACTGTTAGAAAGACCTAAGGCAACTACATTAGCTTCTAAAAGTTAAACATGCTATAGTAAAATCAACAAAATTTGAAAAAATAAAGCTTTTGATCAACACTAAATTTCAGATGTAGTCTGAAAATGTGCTTATGCATGAAAGAAACCAAGCAGTATGAGTGATGATAAAGAATTAAATATTTTTATGTTAAATTAATGTATAAGCAGAGTTTCCCTGCAGGTTCGATATACACTTCTGGGGTTTGATGAAATTTTAAAGGAGGTCTGGATTATTAAGGCATGGATAGCCAAATATGTATTGGCAATTCATCAGCATAATCAGGATTTAATTTTTAACATGTGATTAGATGATACATATTAATAAAATTAATAATTAACTGTTTTTGATATAAAGCTTAATTCTACAAATAAGTGAAGTCTGATTCAAAAAACATGGGTATGCTAAGTTTTGGAATTTTTAAACCCAAACCAAAAATTGTTACTGCACGAAAATTATTGGCTTTTCCCTCTTCTTACCAATTGGAAACAGGTTTTAGTCAAACCAATAAATTATCATAAAAACCAAGAAACAGGTTGAATATTTCTGGACAAGGTAGTTTAAGAATTACATTAAGGAATTTTGTGCCAAATATTCAAAAACTTGTATCAATACGTCAAGCACAGCCATCACATTAATGAAAATCAAACATTTGTGCAATTAGAATCTGTAATTTTGTATTTGACAACTTGTTTATATTTGTAAAATTAAAAATAATAAGAATAAAGAATAATAAAACATAAACCTAATTAACCATTTTTTTTTCAAAAGTGTTTTTCATATTCTTAGTTTGTAATCATTAAGTTACGTATGTGCAGTTCTTCATATAGTTACATTGTAAGATATATATTATAGAGAAAAATGTAAAGGTGTTATTTGATTGCAAGAAAAACATTAGGAATTCCTGGTTTAAAGCTAAAAACAAGTAAATATAAATGTGAAGGGTTTGGTTTGGTAGCAAGAAAAAGGTTAGTAAGCTCTGGTTTAAACTAAAAGCAAGTAAATAAAACTTGCATTAATAAGGTATGTGACTACCCCAAATCTTCATGCAAAATTTACGGTGATTGCCGATGCTTTCAATGAGGTGTTAAAGTTTCAGAGGTACTTGTAATGGCATTCCTCTGTTATGGCAATAGTTTCCAGTTGTTTGAGATTGGCTGGAGGAGGTAGAATTGAAGACACAGCATGCCTGAGAGTATCCCAAAGATTTTAATAAATTTAAGGTCAGGAGAATACTGTAGCCACTCCATACAAGAAATGCCTTTGCTGTTCAGATGCTCATTAATGATGTGTCAATGCAGGGAGACATTATCTTACTGTAAGGAGGAAATTAGGACCAACTGGTGCAGCACTGTCTCACAATGGCAAGAATGATTTTGTAGCAACATATGGTTGGATTGCAAAAACAAATGTAGCAACAGACTTCATCCTGATACCATGCAGCTGTCGTAGAACTCTCTAAAGATGTGCAGCTGGGTGTGATATCCCTCTGAAGTACCAGCTCACATCCCGATGCTGTCATCTCTGAATGCGTGATGTTCTGGGTCTGATTTCATGTGTCTCATTCTGTCCAGACCCTTACCTTCTTATCATCTGATTCCAGGGTGAATCTTGATTTGTCCATGAACAGGATGTTTCATCAATCTGAGACAGTCCAATTGAAATAGTGATGACACAACTTTAATCTTGCTCTTCTGGTTTGGATGGTTAATGGAACCTAAAAATGTGGTAGTCAGGCTTACAATCTCTTCATGTGAAGCCTTCGGTGGAGAGTACTGGCAGATATTGTGTAAGTAATGCTGCAACATAGATGTAACAGATGTGGTAGTTATATGACAGTTCTGCTTGGCTACAGGTGCAACACACCAATCTTCAGAAAGGGTGGCAACCCTTGGTTGACCGGGCACAATTATCCAGACAAGCATTTAGAATTGTTTCCACATTCGAGAAGTCACCAATAATGAACTCTAAAGAAAAGAGCAACATCTTTGACTGATCTGCTTCATTTTATCTTATAGCACGTCTGCATACTACCCTGCCATATAGCTTTTTTCAACCTTAGAGACATGCAATAGCATCGAAAATCCATAAAGCTAATAATGCCATTAGTTATAAACACTCTTTGTCAGCATTTATAAATGAACCTCCTTAAATTCCTCAGAATGCCTTCAGTTACTGCCTAATGAGTATATGGCTGTAATGTACAATATTTGCATACTGCAAACTATGTCTGCAGCGATTAGTAGCCACTTAAATTTAGCTATGTTTTCGGAAATTGGAGATTTGCATTGTATGCTTAATTTTTGGAAGCCACTGTACTTTATTATTATCATTTCTGCTTTTGTTTTAATTTTCTAGTTTAAACTTATCTATGTAAAGAAGAATTCTTATCTCTCTTAAATGCTCAATTTTAAATAGATGGGTCTGCCTATGACTTATGAGGTACAGTTCATCTGTGACCACTGGCATGGTATTGCCAGAATTCCTAAAGCTTACTTCCCTCCTCGTATACGTCGTTTTAATGCGTACGCTATTCATGGAACAGGCGAAGGTCGTCATTATGAAGCTTTATATCCGGTGCCAAGAAATCAGTTTGAGCAACCAGACACGTAAGCTTCTTTGTTCGGATTTTCTGGTTACTTATTTAACAGCTTGGATAAAGCCTGTATTAATGTTGTTATTTTGCATTTCAGTCATCGGTTAGAAAAATTTGGGTACCTTTCATTCTCAGGTCGTATTCGATGTAGGCCATTCCCTTACCCTGTCTGATGTATGGCGTGAAGCTGTAGAAAATCATGGTAAGTTGCACAGAAAGTAGTTAAAATCTCCGGTTGGATTTTTATTTTAAAAATGCATATAAATTTTTGGGGTTTATAAAACTGTTTTTCTAAAACAGTAGTTTTCTTAGAATTGATTTAGAAATTTATATGGATTTATGAAAGTTGTCTTAGTTAATTATGGCACAGCACACTAAGGTGAAGGGTGCTTTATGAAGAAACTTTCTGAGGGAATCTTGCTCATGCCGAGGTGATTGTGATCTGTGTATAGCCAGAATTTGGGATTTTTTTCCTATCTCAAATCTGGAATTTACAGATTTGTTAAATGTTCAATCATCATCTTTCTCAAATTTCGTTTTAGATAAAATTTATCATTCAGAGATTACCTAAATTGAAAACTCTTGGACTATGTAAAAATATAACACCAGATTAGACAATTAGAATGAAATTTAGACAGTTAAATTGTAGAGAAATACAAACCACTCATATTTTGGGCTGTGAGAAGAATGAAAATAGAAATACCCAGTATTGGCAAAATTGATTACATCTGTTTCAACTTGCTTCCATGGACCCATTTAATTATATCGCTGATAAGAATGCTGAACATCCTTCAACTGTCATAGCCTAGTTATGCAGGCCATAAAATAGTTATTTTCATATACAAAAATACACGTGAAGCTTTTAGGGCATAGAATCCGTTTGATTGGATACAATCCCTGTGATACAAGAACTTATAGAATAACTGCATAGCTGACCAGAACTCTTCATACTCCATGTATCGTTCTGTTTTTTCCTAGCAGTTCCTTATCTCCAACACCTGCTGATATGCATACTTCAAGTTCTGATCTATTCCTAAAGGTTAAAGTGAAAAGCCATTGTCTACATTAAAATGTCTTGCTGACCATACTGAACTTTAAATTGTTGAGAAAGGAAAATATAAATGGCAGTAGTCACCCATTCCAAGAAAGGAAGCTAAATTTCACTTAAATGCATAAATGTTGAAAAACTAAAAATGTTGCCCACCAGCAGCCAAGTAATTAAATCGATGAATAGTTATTAATTTAGTCTGGATTTTTAATCCCAGGGAAGACACTGGCCTGCATGTTTGTTTTCGTGGTTTTCTCCATGTGTAATGTTTATACGAGCCAGTTTCCCTTAAAAGTCCTTCACAGGGCATCCCTTCTTTTGGCAGATACCAAAATGTGCATTGCCATAATCAAATAAAAAAAGCCAAAAATGCTAGTTACTTTGGGAAATGATGCAGTAAAAACATAATTTGTAATACGTTAAGAAAATTATATTTTTGCTTATGAAATTGTTTGAAAATATTTTTGTATAATTGTATGTATACACTGAAGTGACAAAAGTCATGGGATAGCAATATGCAAATATACAGATGGCAGTAGTATCGCATAGAAAATGTATAAATGCGAAGTTCTTTGACAGGGCTTTCATTTGTGTTCAAGTTATTCATGTGAAGATGCTTTGACGTGATTATGAGACTTTGGCACGACGAGGCCGCACGACGAGAATTAAGAGACTTTGAAGGCAGAATGGTAGTTGGAGCTAGACGCATGGGTCATTCCATTTCGGATATCGTTAGGGAATTCAACATTCCGAGATCAACAGTGTCAAGAGTGTGCCGAGAATATCTGATTTCAGTCATAACATCCCACCATGGACAGCGCAGTGGCCGACCACCTGCACTTAACGACCGAGACCAGCGACGTCTGCGTAGAGTTGTCAATGTTCACACACAAGGAACACTGTGTCAAATAACCGCAGAAATCAATGTGGGATGTACGAGGAACGTGTCCGATAGGACAGTGCGGCGAAATTTGTCTTCCTTCGGCTGTGCCAGCAGAAGATCGACTGGAGTGCCTTTACTGACAGCACGACATCGCGTGCAGCGACTCTCGTGGACTCATGAGCATATCGGTTGGTCCCTAAACGAATAGGAAACCGTGCCTTGGTCAGATGAGTCACGATTTCAGTTGGTAAAAGCTGATGGTAGAGTTTGAGTGTGGCGCAGACCCCCACGAAGCCATGGACCCAAGTTGTCAACAAGGCACTGTTCAAGCTCGTGGTGGTTCCATAATGGTCTATGCTGTTTTTACATAACATGGACTCGTTCCTCTGGTGCAACTGAACCGATCATTGACTGGAAATGGGTACCTTGAGCTACTTGGAGATCACTTACAGCCATTCATGGACTTCACGTACTAAACAATGATGGGAGTTTTATGGATGACAATGCGCCATGTCACCAGGCCACAATTGTTCGCGATTGGTCGGAAGAACATTCTGGACAATTTCAGCGAATGATCTGGCCACCTAGATCGCCTGACATAAATCCCATCGAACATTTTTATGGGACATTATCGAGAGGTCAGTTCGTGCCCAAAACCCTGCACCGTCAACACTTTCACAATTATGGATGTCTATAGAGGCCGCGTGGCTCAATATTCCTGCAGGGGACTTCCAACGACTCGACGTCCATGCCTTATTGTCGAAAGTTGCTAGCACTTCGCCGGGCAAAAGGAGGACCATGACAAAATTAGGATGTATCCCAATGACTTTGTCATTGACCGTGTATGTTCACATTTATAGAATTATTCAAAAAAATCAGCATCTGCCAGCATCTTTATGCCCTGGCAATTATTTTCACGGAAGTCAGTCTAAAATAGGTAATGGGGTTACCAATTAACTTACTCACGTTTATCTTCCTTTTGCACTTGCATTTAAATTGGTCAAATTTACTTTATCCTTTTTAATTCTTCACTTGCTATTTTCCATAAATTATCTGTGTCGATTTAAACAGAAATCTCACAACTTATTGTCTCCACTGCTGGGGGTTTGTTAAAGTAATGCCAAATGTTTGGAGTTTGGACTTAATTTCTCAATCTGGTATCCATTTGTCCACATTCGTTATGACTGCTGCACTAACATAATTTCCAGGATCATTAATATTCCATAGAGTAGGTTCAGCTTGCTTTCAACATTGGTGTTTGCCATTCTTTTCACAAGCAGATTTAAATGCATTTTTATATGCAGATTTAAAATAGTTTCTCTTTTCACTGAATTTTTCAATTTTCTTGGTAAATCTTCTTGAATAGTAGAAAAATGGCTACTATTATCAAGAAGACACCTCACAATGCAATTACTATTTTAGCCCTCAGACCATCAGCCATAGCATCAGAATTTTGAGTAGTTTTTGCCAATCTTTGTTTCCTTATTTTTTTTTATGCTAGAGATAGCCGATACAGGATTTACGCAAATATTTTCATGATGTTTACCACAACAATTTCTGCAGGAAAATTCTCTGTTATTGTTAAATGGTTACATCCAGAACACAACAAGTTACATTTCTCTTTGGAGTTCAATTCTGTACATGTGTACTTCATACGATCTTCATCACAAAATATACATTTGTAGCCAGTTGTTAGCAAAGCTGAAGCAGTCAGAACTTTCAATTTATAACTCAGATAAGATATTGTGTGTTGTTAATGTTTACAAATTTATTGTTTCTGGAATTTTTTTTTCCCCACAGTTCATCAAACTTACAGCTTCTTGGCAATTAACTTTTTTAAGAATTCAATTATTTTTTTATATCAAATCCTGCTTCCATTTTTCAACTTCAATTAAATTCTAAATTCAGAACTTCCAGAAGTAAAGTTCAATCAGTCTCAACTTTGGATGACTTCACATTCATCATACAGTTTATGCAGTAGTTTAACATTTGAAAAGTTTCCTTTTAGTTCAAGAGATAGTAGTTTATTCATATGCGAAGTGATGATTACACCTTGTCTTCCAGAATGTTCTTTCAGTATTTCTGTTGCTGAATTATAATTCTGATCACGTAAGGCATAACTGGAACTGCATTAACACTAAATTAGGATTTTAGGTATGAACATTTTTCAGTTTTCATCAGTCCACTAGTATTGTGAATCAGGTTTTTATACTGGCTCCAAAAGTCCAACCATTTACATATGTCTTCATAATGAGTTTCAATTTGCAGAGACATGGTAACTTCACTTCTTTTGTTTCTTCTGTTGATGTAACATTTGCCATTTCATTCTAATGTATTACTACAATTCTAGACTATTCTGAAGTCCTTTTTCAAAAATCATTGTATTCTTCCTTGCGTTGATACAGTTTTATCTCAATATTCTTAATGTTGTGTAACTTCATTTTCAGTCTCCTCCAAAGTCAATTTCATATTTTGATTTCTGAATCTAAACTTTTCTGTTTGTTGATTTCTTTCAATTAGCTGTTTGTATAAATTCTCAGTCTCTTTTCTTTTGCAGAGTATGATTTTCTAAACTCATTTCGACTTTGGTTAACTGTTTTATTGTTAACTGCCGTACAACAGATTGTTTCCTTTTCTAATATTCAAGCATACCCTTGTTTTCAAAATATTCAGTGTGTCGATTATTTTGATTTGTTGTATTCCTGGGAAGTAGGCACCATAAAGAAAATATAAGTCTATATTAAATCAGACTGTATCAAGGGAATAACAGTAAAAAGATGGCATTTTTCTATCCAATGTATATTCGTGAACACCAAAGGTGAACAACAAACATATGCACAAAAATGATGTCACAGTTTCTTTGCAGATAATATCTAGTGTCATCTATTGCCAAGCTGAAAATTCATAATCACAAATTTATAAGTGACACATTGTACACTGGTTTGTAGAACAAATTACTTCTATTAAGCCAGTTGGTACAGAAAACTAACTTAAAAATCTCTATAAGGTCATTTGTAAAAAAATAGAAAGTGTATAATAATTTATTGCTTTCAGACTGTTAATGCTGTGGCTATATACTATAGTATTTTGTCATTTTATTGCTACAAAATTAGTACTTATCTGAAATTCACTACTTTAACTTACATTTTTGTTTGTTGAAACAGTGCCTGCTTACTTTTCTGAAGTTGAAATGGCCTCTTCAATGTTATGTGACAATAAGCAGTAATTATTTGTTTGAAGATGTTGATATATGTACAACCTACTAGTAAATTCTTGTAGCATGAATATTTATAAAAATCTTTTAAAACATTCCATCATTTAAGCATCAGTTATCTCCAGTAGCATTTATTATTATATTTTCATGCCAGACAATATTATGATTTGTTGCTAAAGTGGTTAATCTTAGTTTCCCATGTAATGTTAATTTTTATTAAAATTGATATATTGACTTATTTCGGTAATTGTGAAATTTATATACAATTTTGTTAAAACTGTACAACTATGTTGCTTAAAATGTCCGAACTTTGCTGTAGTTAGGCAATGCAATTTATGAACCAAGTTACTTTAGTTGAATTGTCGTAGAGTTTGTGCATGAAAATTATTTGCCCCCCTCTCAAATCAGTCAGTTGCAGAGATCTAACACTAACAGTCAGTTGCAGAGATCTTACACTCTATTAACCCGTTACTTCCCCAAATGATTCTAAATTAATTAACTGGTTCCTTGAGGCAAGTTGAAAATGAAATCAAAATTTGCAAATTTTGAATTAAATACCCGTTCTCTGTTTTTTCATATGGGAGTCAAACTTTTTATATATATATTTTTTCATAACAAGTATAAGGCAGATAAAAGTATAGGAACCATGAAACCACGTGAAAAGTTAAATTTCGTTATTTGTCAAAAATTATGTTTTTTTTTTTAATTTGATGTTGCCGAAAAATTTTTTGTCTGCAATGCGAAGATATGACTACAACGAACGATGGCGAAAATTAATTCTGGGTAAAGGGTTCTATATACATACACACGCACATTGAAAAAAATCCCCTTTGAATCCATTTTAAATCCATTTTACTCTCTCTTTTTGGAAATAAAAGGCATCCTTTAGTCTGTTCGTATGTACAGACGTCGCGAAAAAAAATCAGGCAACTGGATTTGTGAACAGTCAAAATGGATATTTCCTTTGAAGTATGGTACCTGCAATTTTAAGCTACTTAAGCAATCAATTCATTCATTTTGTGCTGCAGAATTCAAATACTTATCCGTGCCTGAGGCCATTTTGAGAAGGATTAGAGAAGAGAAAATTAAATAAATTTTATATTATTCTTTCTATTTAGATAAATTCTAGAATTACTTTATGTTAATTTATTAGTTATTTTATGATTTAGGCATTTCCTGTCACTTTTTCCTTCCGTTTCCAAGCCAGAATGCAAATTAGCTCGCATGTATTTAAATGTGATCTTTAGATTATAACACAGAATGTGTTCTGCCTCTCAAAGCCACTTACCAGGTTGCTAGTTTAGAAAAATTTGTTATCTTCGGCCTTGTGTAGTATCGCTGATATTGAATCTCCATGCCGTTTCATTTTTCAGTTCTTACATTTTAATGCTAAGGAATCATGAGTAGGGAATGAAAACTTTAATACATCAAAATGCTTTTAAAATAATGGGAGAAAATTAATAATTAATGTGTATGGTATTTGTGCAGATAAACTTACGTGTGATAAACTTGTAAATTGAAGTAAAACAAAATTAAATACAAATATTAACTGCTTAAATATTCAAGATTTTAATATCATAAGATTATATACACAAATAATAGTATTGAAAATAATGCACATCAGAGTTATAAACTATTTAAACCTGACAACTGAAAAAAAAATGTGAAAACTGTGAAAGAAGTAAGAAACATGAACAGAAAAGAAAAGAAGAGAGATAATTTGAGCCTTTTTTGTAACTTTTATTCGAGATTACACCATTATCATGAGATTTACATAAATAAATTAATTGTATAACCAAGCTTTCAACAAGAATTTGTGTAAGGTTCTACAGTGCCCAGAAAAAGTAGTAATCCTTACCCCCAGCCAAATCACTCTTTTTGTATTTACGAGAAAATGGCGTGGCTGCAATACAAAATCGTTTCCTAAAAGCTGAGTTCAGATAATTCTAGTGAACTTTAGGAGTCTTGCAATTTTGCCATCTTTATCATGTGCTCGCTTCAAGAAATTCAGAACTTGTTCTCACAACAAGCCCAAGCAACAATCTGTACTTATTTATCACTAATGACTTGAAAGCACTCTTCTGGAGGGCAATCAAAACAAAAGCATACATCTTTTCTGCTTTGTATTTGTCAGTTGAAGATTTAGAGTATGTAATATTCAATTCAGCTTTTTTGTCTGCTTCCAAGGGCCACCTAACTGCATCACATGATGCAGATGCCCCATGGAAACTTGAAAGAAGATGGATTTTATTCGTGTATGTAGTATTTATAAAAAATCTGTCTTTTAAGTTTAAACATGTAAATGTAGTTCGGCAGGACTTTCAAGGGCATCCTAAGCCTTCTGGTCCTTATGCGACAGCATTCTTTGCATACCCTTATTTACACCACCGGCGCTGACATAGTATAGTAGTTTACCTGAACAGCTATTAGAAAAGAAATGCGCAGACATTTGAATTGGCCAGCATCCAGTATGTAAACCTTTTGTTTCGTTGCATAATACCTCACTGCAGAGCCATTTCGGTGCTGGGGTAAAGTATAGTTACATTTTATGCTTTTCAAGTCTTTCTGTATGGATACCTTGGTCTTAGAATAATTTAATCATAATTCTTTGTGATTTGGGACTTATCAAATTGCATAATCCATACTGATTCTTCATCCCTTTTTTCCCCTTCTAAATGAGTATGCAATAAGAAATTAACTGGAAATGTTTAAAGCAAAATCTATCAACCAGGGGAAAATTTCATAGTTTTGAGGGGGATACGCTTATTTTTTTATTTAGCTGTTAAATATTTAGTTTTAGTTTATGATTGTAAAAACTACCTTTATTCATTATTTGGTATTTATCGATATTTTCTCTACTTTCTGTTTAATTTATAAAAACACATTAAAGCCCATGTAAATAAATAATGTATATGTATTTTTCTAGTTTTGGAAAGAAGGGGGGATGAGGGGATGATCTAGCAATGGTGAAAGGGGGTGCATGGAGTAAACCACTGGTCTAAGGAAAAGTTACTATGTTCATTCTTCTTGCTTATGTGTAATGAAATCATTGTATAGCTACTCATGAGGTGAAGTAAAGAGATCAGTACATAAATGACTGATGCGCAGCTAACCAAAGAGTACTAGTACTTGTCATTCAGAAAAAGAAACTTTAATCCGAATAGCATTTCCATGGTTCCTGTAATTATTATATCTACAATTTACTGTTCAATCTGATTTACCATCAGATTTAAATATAGTAATTTATGCTTTTTAAATTCTTGAAAAATATTTGAACAGTATTTCAATGATAAAACTTTTTTTAAATCCTGCTTTATTAAATAAAAACCAAACTTCTACATGATCTCAAATAGTTTGTTTATTTGTATTTTAATTTTAGGCTTTTGTAAATATAAGCTGATGTTGTGAACTTATTAATAAAGTTGTAAAGAGAATTTTGTTCAAAATTTTTCAAGATATTTAATTTTTTCCCATTTCATAGTGTAAATGATGTGCATTTGTTTTTGCTGAAATTTCTAATTAATACATAATGTATCATTTTATTGCAGAAAAAGTATTAACCTGCAAGGCTAGTGATACCAAATGAAGTAATTTTGTTCATTGAAGTGCAGTAAGGTAAGTTCCTTTTAATTTACTATAGCTATTCCAGTTATGTTATTTAAATTTGTTATTTAAATTTTTTTTTTTTGATATTTATATCTTGGTTTAATATGTATCTGTAAGGCAAAGACCTTGCTGAAAAAGAAGCATATGATGCAAACTGATAATTTTCATGGGGGAAAAGTCTGTAATATAAAGTGAAAATAATATGAATGAAGGTGGGTATATGATCATTAGGCATAAAACATAATTACATTTGTAACAGAATTTTATGAATCCAGTGCTAAAAATAAGTTTGCTAGACTGCAATTGATCTGTATTTCAAAAGTGACCTGAATATGGAAAATACATTTCAGCTATATATAGTGAACAGTACATATGTAAGAAGTATGCAAAAGATAAACAGGCTCTAAAATAGATTTGTCATTGTATCAAATTCATAAGTTAATGAAATTGTGCTCAACATTCTATTTATTTATGCATGAGGGGGTCAACTATATGAATAACACATTTATTACATTTTAAAAAGTAACTCTTTTAAAAAAATAATATTAAATTGTTAAGTAATAAGCAATTGTCTGCTAATTACAATGTGTCATCAAAAATGAGTTTTCTTTTAATGTTGCACTTTTATCAGTTTCATAAATTTCATTTTAATATTCTAGGTATCTTATTTATATTACGCTTCATACTTTGCATTCAGCAGTTTAGGTTGAAACAAAATAATTTTTTTCACTGTGTTTCTGAATATTGCAATGATGTCTGCTGTTGGTCTCTTTATATTTCTGATTCTAATAATTGCTGTAATATTTTGTATTTGTGATGTTAAATTTGATAAATAATGGTAATAACATTGAAATTATCACGGTTTGCTGTGTTACAAAAGTTATCTTTTCCTTAAAAAAAATATTTGTTTTCTTGTATCATCTTTCTCTTTTGTGTTTTTCAGTTTGGTTTTGTTATGAATGCAGAGTTCAGCAATTAATTAAATTATTTAATATTATCTATTTTAATTGTAAAAATATTAAAACTTAATCAACAGTTATTCATTATGCTATTCAGAAGTATATTTCATTATTTATATGTATACAATATACACACTTTGTAAGAGGGGAAAATGATCATTATTATTACCATCTACAGTATAGGTAAAGAAAAGCTTCCTAAGGTTAAATGAACATGGTGAAACATGAATAAAATTCACTGATTTGAAAAGATGTCATTGTCCACATATCCTATAGGTTGAGAATATGTTTTAAATATGTACCATTAGTGTTTTGTTTCTTTGTTGGGCTTACTTTTAAACTGAACACGATCTCTGCTTGCGTGAGTACGTACGTGAGTGAGTGAGTGAGACAGAAGAGAGTTATTATTATAATAAAAATTATTATAATAGAAAAAAAATAATAAAAGGATTTTATGCCTTGTGTTATATCTTCATCAGGGGGTTGTGAAAAACGAGAGAAGTAAACGAAAAAAATGCCTGATTCTGAACTGAAAAGTGTGAAATTGCTCTCAAATCAAAATTGTAAATTTTCAACAACATAATTTAAATATGTGCATCCATCAGTCATATCCCTAACAGATGAAATGGCAAAGCCACATTGACTAAATTAAAACATTTATTACTAATCAAAAATTGAAAAACAGTACAAAGAACTGTTAAAAAAACCATTTAATTATTTATTAACTGGACAATGCACAAAAAACAAAGCAAAAATGTTTGATAATCTGTAGAAAGGCAAGTTATTTTGTATTGAGAACAATAAACTTAAAAACTGTTATAAAAATTTTAATTCATTAAAAATTTTTAAGTTACATATCTAAAAACACAAATTATGTAAATAAATTCAGAACAAGTTTGAAAAATAAATAAATAAACGCATTCAAAGTACAGGGTGAGTTTTTTATAACAAAATTTAATTCTATCATGTATAAACTGTGTTGCGATATTTTAATAATTATTGAGTAATAAATTTAAGAATTTATCTCTAGCACAAAATATTAGGAAATGAAACTATTGAAGTAAGAAAGTAATGGTGAAAAACTTTTTTGGTCCTTGAAGCTAACAGAATTTAACTTTGATACTTGTAGAATGCAGGCCAAACGATATGCAAATAGTTGTAATTTTCATTTAGAGATGTAGTAGCAGCTTTTATTCAAAGGAAAAGAGGTATGATGATGAAATAAGTTGATTTCTTTGTTATAGACCACAGAATTCAAGTGGGCTACTGTGAGACTGGAAATGAAACAGTCTTGTTCAGTTAGTAAAGAGAAGACTTTGTTAAACATCCTATTCAGAAATATTGCAGACTGTACTACTGTTGAATGTAATGTCTAATTCAACAGATTAATAATCCAGTCTATACTTCCTGATGGATCTGTACTACCTTTCATGAAAATCAGAATAAAAAATGTGCATCGTGTAAGACGTGTAATTTGGCTAGCTGCTTTTCAAAAAAATTCTGTGGAATTTTATATTATAAAATATTTTAATTAGTAATTGAAAGACTGTAGAAAAAAGGGCCCAGCTCCACACTTTTAAATTTTCAGAAATTTTTTTTTAATTTCAAAAATTCATTTTTTGACTTATTTTCTAATTTTTTCCCTCTTTAAATGTGCTGTTCAAAATGATTTTTTATGGCTATTACTGTAGCAGAATGTGAGTTCTGTTAGGTTACAGTATTATTTAAATTTAGGAGCTAGGATTTTATTGTCCCAGTGGTCATAAATTGCTCATTTTGGGGTGATAAAAATTTAAGAGACACTGTGAGAGAATGCTATTAACAAATGAAAGAGAATGTTTATAACACATGAAAAAATAAAACAGCATAATATAAAAAAGGATATCACAAATATATAGTTCTAAAAATTTCATTTCAGTGCATATTCTTGTCAACATTACATACAGTTATTAACTCAATGAAGATTACATAGATACTCTTCATCATTATCATAGAATTCACTTTCAGTTTCTTCAGCATCACTGCTTGTTGAAAGTTGTATTTCCTATGAACCACTATTTCTAGGAGAAATGACTTTTCCTCGAGTTGAAATATACCTTCATTGCGGCTCATTTTTCATTTTTTCGCAACAGATCACGATCCAGTACCTTTCTTTTCTTCCTTGATTTTTTTGTTAATGTCCTCAGCATTTGTGAAATGAGCCTGAACTGATAGGTTTAGAATCATCTGGACTTCTGCCATACATGTCAGAAAATAGGAAAGCACAACAATGTTAATAAAAATACAGTTCTTGTACATTTAAAAAAATCCAGAACAACACGGAATGAAGTATAATTCTAAGTAAGCAAAACCTTACCCTGTAGCGGTTCAGCTCAACTGTACAACAATCTCCATCACTTGAGATTTTCAGAAATGCGCCCTCTTTATTCCGAGCCTACAAAAATTCCAGCTTCATCTGAATTTTTGGAAAACTACTACTCGAATTTGAGCTTTCTTTACTCCAGTGTAAAGAAGAATTTTTTCCAGCAAAAAATTCCCAGAACTCAAAAGTCTACCAAAAGTGGACCTGGGCCCTTCTTACTGAAAGCATCAATTTTGGTTTCTTCCAAAATATTTTTATTGCCACTGTAGATTTTCCGAATTCTGACGATTTGATTAAATGTAGTGTTGGCTAAGACTTTTCTGGAAATGTTAGACTTCCAGTTCAGTTTTATAGTACTGAAAAAGTTAAGGTCTTTTGTCAAAGATTTTTTATTTTCATAATGTATAAGACCAGTTAATCTAAAACAGGAATTTGCAATCCTTTTTTGCTTTAACCCTTTTCAAAAGAATGGTTTCTTCATTAACCTTCGTGCATTTTTGCCTGTAATATACGCATACAACATAATCATAATACAAATCATTGCTTATAATAAAAGAAACAGTTAGACTAAGAATTGACCAGAAGTTTTGAAAAGAAAATTGTTTATTATATTGTATTTTTTTATTTTTGCATTATTTTTAATTTTACAAATTTAAAATTTCTGGAATTAAAATCACTGATTCTAACTGCACATAAGTTCTGTTAGTAATTGACTGTATTGATGTATTTTTTTAAATCTTTTTCATAAAATTTTGAAGTTCAGGATTATAAGCTGTGGCTGAAATTAAATTCTTTAATGAATGGAAAAAGGATAATATAGCTATAGCCTAGTTAAGTGCCCCCTGAAATTCCAAGGCTTGTTGATAAATATTTTCTTGGTATTTAATATAATTGTGAAATAGTGTGCATTTTAGATCTGTTTCCATTTTTCAAATTTGTAAATTCATTAATAATCGGAAAAAATGTTACCTGACTTAACCACGAAAATTCATTAAGACGTAAGATGAGATATCGTTTATCCTCATAGCCTAAGATCTTGATGTGAAATTAGCTATGGATAAATCCAGTTATGAACAGTATATGGGTATTTATATGAGACAACTTTTTTTGAGAATGCTGAAATTAAATCGTTAATTTTGTTGTTATGACCAACGTTACTAAAATCGAATTTTGATTTTGTAGAATTTAGGTGAAGCAAATGTTGAAAAATTTATTGACTGGATTTGCTGGAAGTTTAAATTTTGTGACCTTTAAACTTTTAAATTTAAAATGTTTTCTTAAGCATTAGAGGTCTGCAAGTTACTTTATTATTTGATTCATTATTAATAATTTCTTGATAGAATTTTTTTCAGATGGTGCTATTGTTGGCTTTGTCAAAAATGGCATTGATAAATTGGTCTTTCAGATTTTTAATTTTTGATTTATTTCAAAATGCTTAGTGTTTTTATTGATGAATTAAAGTTATTAAAATTATTTCTAATTCTGTTGTCTATATGGTGTTTTCATTTTTTAAGGGAATTAAGTGGAAAACTCTTTTCAGTGGGTGCTAATAGTAAATTAGTTTAGGTTATGATTTATTTTAAAACTGGTTTTTATTGGGATTGAAATTAATTCCTTATTTAGTGCCAAAGTTCATGATTTCCTTAAGCCTGTTTGTTTTCAATAACATTAACGTCACCTGCAGTGCT